TGTGTGTGTGTGTGTGTGTGTGTGTGTGTGTGTGTGTGTGTGTGTGTGTGTGTGTGTTTATCTCTGATATAAGTGACTTGCTGTAACAGGCATAGAAGAGAGAAAAGAAAGCCAAACATGCAGAGTTAGATATTGTAAATGATCTGGCAGATTGACTATTGATGAGACAGACACTTTAGGAGAGCAGACCCCTCAACAGTTGCAGGCATGCCAGTGGGGAGGGACTTAATTATATGATCCTGTCTTCACACCACAGGATAGCTTTTTCCCCAATGTCATGCCCTCCAGAATTCCTAGCCAGGATAGCCACAGAAAAGCTTTGGATCCAATTGTTGCACATCACTTTTTCTTAGTCACAAATGCCACAGTCCAGTCTGCTTCTATTTATTAATCAGAGTTAGGCAAGCTTATCTTATTGCTGTTCATTTGAACGTGTTCTCAGCAATTTGGTACATTTCCTCCTCCTTTATGTTGTGACTTGAATGGTATCATTATGTCACAAGCATCTGTGTTGTTGGAAACTACTGTATGAAGTAGGTATTTCTCAGATAATTAAAAGGCCATTTTGCCAAGTACTCAGATAATGCTGAGATTGACTGAGAAATTAAGTATACTTGTGTTGGCTTTCAGAATCTTCTTGAAAGCTGAGATTATAGCAATTGCTTGGACTTGAAGGTCTTACATTTAATAGTCTGTGACTGTAATAGTATGCATTTAGTTTATTAATATGTTCTTCTGTTTGGAGGCATTTTTGTCTATGAAGACAGTACTCATGTAGTGGATTTTGGAGATATAATATTGAAATCCAAAAAAGAAAAAATAAGTCCTGTTAAACTTGAAGAGTAGTAGAAGCAAGAGTTATTCAAAGGAGGATACAGCGATCTTTCGTTAGTATTGGCTCCAGTAAAGCTCACATAAATAGGATTTAAAGTTTGCCCTTTGCCTGACAAGTATATACTTTTTGCCTTTTGGGGAAGTTTGTCATACATGGATAATCTTGCCCAAGGAATAAGGAGACTTGTTGGCCATTCAAGAAGTTGGTTTGATATTGTTGTATCTTCTTACTTGCCATGGGAGTTTAAAGCAAACACGTGAAGATCCCTTTGATATGAAGGCAGACAGATAATCTCAACAGAATAGAAGTGAACTCAATATACTTTAGGCACTGTAATTGTACCTAGAGTAAAACTCATGCAAGGGATTAGGCTATGTACATTGCCATCCTACTATAGTCCTTTTTGTCTTCTGATCTAGGACAGAAAGATACGCTAAGTATCTCGACTTGTATTCCCCGGAACATGAATAGAAAACCTCCATATGGCCAGGAGTTTTGTCTTTCCTAATCTAATAATTAATAGTACTTGCGTTTAAGTAAAAGTTGATAAATGTGCCCTGGCATCATTATTGCTCAGGGTGCAGACTCAATTGCAGATTTAGAAGGTGGCACGAGATTTTATAGGTAGGGCTATCAAGAACATCCTTGTTTTTTTTTAAATGGATGTTCATGGGCAACAAGCATGTTGCTCTTAGTTCAATTCACCCAAAAATAAAACAGGACTTCTGAATGATTGCATATCCAGTTCATTTTTGGTGTGCTTCTGAATCTTAGGGTTGATCATTTATATCAAATTAGGTCACACTTACTTAATCCAGGGTAGGCAATCTTTATCTCCAGCATTTTTTTTTAGTACACCCTTAAATACCCCATGATTGACCTGCATAAATTCAGTTGTAAATTCTAAAGAGCTTGAAACCTGTACCCTATCTTAGCAATAGCATTTAGACTTATATACTGCTTTACAGTGCTTTACAGCCCTCTTCGAGTGGTTTACAGAGTCAGCCTATTGCCCCCAACAGTCTGGGTCCTCATTTTACTGACCTTGGAAGGAAGGAAGGCTGAGTCAACCTTGAGGTGATAAGAATCGAACTGCTGAACTGCTGTCAGCCTGCATTCAGCAAAGTAGCCTGCAGTACTGCATTATAACCACTATGCCACCATGGCTCTTACCTTGAAACAGCAAATAGAAATAGCAGTAGAAGCCCTGGGGGAGTCAAATTATTCAATCTCTCTTTCCTTACAAAGGCAACCTGAAATTTTGTCCCTAAGGTTCAACCCTTTTGCCATCGAATTTCAGTGGCAGCTCTTCAGAGCACATGGCAGTAATTAAACATGGGATTAAAGTGGTTTGTATCCTACTGGTATCATCCCCATCTGTAAAACCACCTCCCTCTTCCAAAAATGAATGAAAAAAATAAAGGATGATCGGTCTGAAGAGTCATTGGACATCTTTTAAGCGTGATATAGCCCCTAATAATTCAACGATTGCTGACCTCTGCTTGAGCCTCATGTTGTTTGAGAATATATAGTCCTGGAATGTCAGAGAATAGACCTGGGCTTTCGATCTGGAGGAAAAAAGTGACATACAACGTCTCATTTTTCTCAGCGTTTTATTTTCATCTTTTTTGACTTTGTGCTATTATATTCTGGAATAAGCAATAATACTTACATACTTTGGGGAAATCTCCACATTCTGTGCGAACTCTCCTTAATTGTCTTGTTATTGATTCTTGGACAATAGAAAAGAAAGACCTGTTTGGAGAAATCATTATTGGTCCCCCTTTGTCTCCTCTTTATGCTAGGGGAACACCAGACAGATGGAAACATATATTACAATAATTAGTAGCAATTAACAATGAAAGCCAGACATATCAAGGGCAACCTTGCTGTAGGCACTGCCTCCTTCAAATGCCCCTTTGGCTGATATTCAAGACTTTTTGTCCTTAGCATTCTAGAGGTGAATCCATCGTTGGGAGGTCATGAAACCACTGCATTGCTCAAGAAGACACATTACTGAGGATGTTTCAATATCCATACATTCTTGCATGCCCTATCTTAGTACAACTCTTAAAATAAATATTGCTGAGGTACCCTGAGAAATAGGAAATTTCCCTGAGAAATTCTAAAAGAGAATATGTAATCATCCCAATCCTAATACTATTAGGATGAAGTGTACAGATAATACAATGTTAATTTCAGGACTGTGACTGGAATGCCTCAGAGTTGAATGTCAAAATGAATGAGTAAAGGAATATCTAAATAAGTGAAGAATTTTCATACATATTCTAACAGAAGAGTGCCAAATTGGAAAATATGGATAATCTGATAAAATATTAGCACTAACCAATATTAATTTTGTTGGAAAATCCAGAATGGCATAGAAAACCAGTGTTGGGCTGATTATTTCACTGCCTGATTGATTAATCTTCATCAGCCAGAGGTGGGCTCGTTAAAGGCTGAGCCTAAATTGTTTGGATCTATAGAACTTGTGAACTCCTGCTTGAGCTAATATCCTGGTGACTTTCTGAATTAAAAAATCTGCTTTAAAAACTATAATTTAAGAAATGCAGATAAATCAGTAGTACAAGAATTTACATAAAGACTCCATAGCAAAAAGATAGCATAGTTGCATTATTTTTGAATAAGAATGATTGAAATGCAGAGTGACATAGCTGAAATGTATGAACACTAAGTGGCATAGCAATTGAATCTAAATTACTTTATGTGCTCCATAGAAGCCAGGCTTTTCCTGAATACTACACTGTACAATCAATATACATGCACAACAAGTCATACAACAGTTCTTCCATACAACTGTGTTACTTGTGCATTCCTCTCATTCTTGAGTCATCAAAAAAATGTAGTGGCATAATTTGTGGTACCCTGGTGGCTGAACTCCTATTTGCCTTAGTAATAAGATTTGTGAGTTGCCCTTTTCTTACAGTTTTACTAGAGATAATTCAAGCCTAGGAATTTCCTTGTCTTCGCTAGCTAGTTGGTCTTCTGGTAGACTTGTATCCAGAAGAGTCCAGCTGACAACCAGTGGAATAGTGATGACTGCAGAATGATGCCAGACAGAGATACACAATGCATTGAGAATGTTCTCTCCTGTTTCATTCTCGTTGTCTTCCACCTCACTATCCTGTTATCTGAACTGTCTTTGGATAGAGGTAATCTTTCACTCACCTGGTTAGGAAAGGACTCTGATATAACTCTTATTAATTTCACTCCATTTCCAAGCCGGATAACAATGCCGATAGCAAATGTTTGTAATCAGCTGCACCTGGAGATATCCCATGGCATATGCCATGGGTGTCAAACATGATCGCGTCATGTGATTTATCGTGATGTGTTGCGGCATTTTTTGCCTTTGCGGAGCGTGGTGGGTGTCGCCTATGCATGACGCATCCGGCCCACTGGCCACCAGTTTGACAGGCCTGACATGCACACAATGGTACAAGAGGAGGCAGAATGACACTAGTTCGGCCTCCAAAAATTAAAAAAAGAGAAAGCATGAAGTTTAAAAACCCTATGTTAGGAGAAACAATAGCAAAGCTTGAATCCACTTAGATGAGACAGAAACTGCACTGTTTTCTAGTTTAACCAACATCGTTTTTTAAATAGTTCACAGGTTTATTAGATTTTTTTTAATGAACATTTAATGAATCTGTTGTTCTTCCAGAAGACCAGCTGTATCAATGTTTATAAGGAACCCATGTAATGCCTAAAGAATGCATGAACAAAGTGTAGGTCAGGCATTATAGGAACACACATCTCCACAGAAACCAGGTGTCCTATTTTTCCACTAGCCCAAGGCAAATGGGCATGCTGGGCAGTGACCAGCAACCAGAGGGGAAAGGGCATGGCAGCAGGAACCACAACAATTCATTTGCGCTTGGCAGGCATATTCTCTAAAAACAGTAAGACATTTTTGTGTTGCAATTAGCAGGACTTTAAGATGAACCTGAAAAGGTTTTACAGTAGCTGAGGGTAAACCTTGGAGTTTCTTGTAGAGTTTTCTGTGAATATTAATGCAAAAGAGAAATGGATATATAATATTACCAGTCAAGTTTGCTGAAAAGCTGCAGTGTTAAATTTCCTTCTATATCTCTAAACTGGTCTACCTTTCCTCCTTTTTAGAGTTTCTGGCAAACTGTTCAACTATGGGCTGCCAACACCATTGTGTCCCAACTCTGAGTGGACCAACATGCTATTGTAACAGTTCCTCCCAGGTAGCTGAAGATGGGAAAAGTTGCAAAGGTAAGTGAAAAATGAGCAAATAGGCTACATTAACTGGCTTTCCTTAAACTTCATTCATAAATTCTCCCTCCTTTCTTCATGGGTAAGAACAATGATAAATTGGTTGTTGCAATTTCTAAGATGCTTATTCAGAGATTTTCCCCCCATATCACAACATGTCTTGACAATTGTGAGATGCAACTGACTTCTGTGGAAGAAAGAATGGATTAAAGATGTTCCACAAGCAGAGCCAATGACCGGGGCAGAAGGAAGAGCCAGCAATTACACTGCCTCTTCAGTAATTCCTCTCTGGATAAGGAGATAATTTCAGATTGCCCACAAGTGCTCCATACAGTTGCTTCTTGAGGAGAGATTGTGAAATAGCAGTCTCCATTGGGTTTAGAGCTCTCAAACCATGACATGGTTTGAAAAGGCATTGGGTTCCTTTTCTAATTACTTTGGGTAATTGCTTGTTAATTGCTTTTCAGCTGTTAGGAATCTTTGGGTTGACAGGTTTTACAGCACCAGGTGAATTTCCTTCAATTCTTAGCAAAATTAAGCTTTAACTATATTTAAAGTTTTATTTTTTAATAAATAGCAAAAGGGAGATCAAAAATTTGATTTTAGAAAGTTATAAATTGACTAAGAGGACAGCTAATTTTGAAATAAGATTTTGGAACTAATTATAAATAATCATGTCCATGGGAAATGCTTTTGTTTTGAATTGTTAAAAAAAGACAAAACAAAATAAGGGCTTTAAAAATAGAGAAGTAGTAGGAATTAAAGATTACAGTTAAAGAGAAGATCGCTCAAAGTCAACTTGCAAAATACAGAATGAAACAAAATATTTTAATGTTAGACACACATTGGACCTAAAAGTTAATTTTAACAGTGTCTACCTTTATAGGCTATGTTTAAAAATAGCAGTAGACTTATATACCGCTTCATAGGCCTTTCAGGCCTCTCTAAGCGGTTTACAGAGAGTCAGCATATTGCCCCCAACAATCTGGGTCCTCATTTTACCCACCTCGGAAGGATGGAAGGCTGAGTCAACCCTGAGCCGGTGAGATTTGAACCGCTGACCTGCTGATCTAGCAGTAGCCTGCAGTGCTGCATTTAACCACTGCGCCACCTTGGCTCATAGTTAATGTTATGGAAGAAGAACAAGATTTATCAAACAAGAATAAAACTGATTTTGAAAATAGATTTCAAGATGCAAGAAAGAAAAATGAAAAATGAAATCTGTGCAAAGCCCCCCCTCCCCCCGGCAGCTGCCTCTTTGAGCAGGAACTGCGAGTCCAGGAGAAACCCAAATTGCACACCAGCTCAGCCAGGGTAGTGGAACACCATGTCAATGATGACAAGTGGCTGTTGCTGTAGGAGAATTGGAGCAAAGTGTGTGCGCCATCTTGATATTCTGCAGGAAAGGATGGATATAAATTTAACAGGCAAAGACTACTACTTTTACTACTACTACTACTACTACTCATTTTTACTTTGAATTTCTCTTCTTCTGGGCACTTTTGTTAGTTGGTTTTTTAAAATGTTTTTTTATTATTCTTTGTGTAAGATGCTTTGGATTGAATGGTGTGTAAATTTAGTAAATACAGTAACTAAAATAAGTATTTCTCTCCTGATGTTCTTTAATTGTCCTTTTTTGCTTAATTCCATCAGATTTTGATGAGTGTTCTATTTATGGTACCTGTAGCCAAACCTGCACTAACCATAATGGCTCCTACACATGCAGTTGCGTTGAGGGATATCTGCTCCAGCCTGATCACAAATCTTGCAAAGCCAAGAATGGTACATCATTTCTTTTTATTCCTGGTTGAATATTTTGTAGGCCATGGCTGCCACTTTATTTTTAAGTGCCAAAGCTTCATTTGATTTCTTAAAAATATACGTATGTATGGTGAAAATGCAGCTATTTGTTTTTATTGGTTTCTGTAGCAAAAATGACTACTCAGTTTGTCTAAAAAATTTTCAGAAACTTTGAAAATGTTAATAAACATGAAATGCTCTGTACTCCTAAAATCTTGAATTTTACTCCCTTGAATGAAATTGGCTTGCTAGTAATTTGCAGTTTTTATAAGAAGCGCAAGTACCCAATTTGTGCTTCTTTTGCATTCTTTTGTGCATACTTTTTGATTTGTGATAGGGAGAATCTGCTCCTGTAATCGCAGATTTATTTTAATGATCTCCCTTGCTTAAAAGTCTCCCCCTAGGTTTTGTTGGTCTTCTTAATGTTACTGAAAAGAACACATCCTGTATACACATTGCTGGTCTTTGTTACTTTGAGGTTTCCTTTGCAAGCACATTTGGAAAGTTTATCTCTGTATCTCTTTGAAGACTGATGTGACTTTCCCTTTGATTATCCTTCTCCATTGGATGTTCTTTTCTTCTCAGAACCAGTAGAACGACCACCCATCCTACTCATTGCCAATTCTCAGAACATCATGGCTACCTACCTGAATGGTGGGCCTGTCCCTAACATCAGCCCAACTAGCACCAAACAGACTACTGCCATGGATTTCAACTATATAGAAGATACAGTCTGCTGGATCCATGTTGGTGACAGTCCCTCCCAGACGGTCCTCAAATGTGCCAAAATCCCTAACCTCAAAGGGTTTGTTGAGGAATGGACTATCAACATCTCTCTCAACTTGCATCGTAAGTAGCATTTTATTCTATTTCAATACCACCAAATAGAATTACAGTTTGTTCTTATGGAGCGTTATCTGATGCTTAAGGTACAAAGGGCTGGTTGACTTTAAAGAAAGAAGTAATATGGTTGATTTTCTAAAATTCTGGTTTGTGTGTGTAATAGTTGTTGGTTTATGCCAATTGTTGTAGATTTTATAGTTTTCTGATTCTAACATATGGCTGTGAAAGAAAAATATTTTGGATATAGTAACCCCCATAGCTTCCCTTACCTGCTCCTGATCTTCCTGCAGAAATCCTCCTTCCCACTCTTTCTATTACTGGACAGATCTGAAGAAGGATCTCTTAGCAAATTCACTCTCTGTCAATCTCCATTTGGGAACAGGAAACACCACAGAATCCTATGGCTCCTATACCACCTGCCCAATTACCATAGGATTGTACCTCCCTGGTTGGCAAAACTTTTTGATGTTTATTTTATCACAAACTGAAATGAATCAGAGAAGCAAAAGAGGAAGCATTTGGGAAATATCTGTTCATAGGCCTGAAGTTATTTGCATATTTATGTTTTATAATGAAGAAATCTCGCCTGAAAAGAATGGAAAACAGTCCACAGGGGATGAATATTCTTCATCATAAAGAATTCTTAATCTTTTTAATTTATCAAAATGTGATGGCCTTTATTTTTAATCTAAAACTCATGCCTGATTAAACTGCAGAGCCTGGGGATTAAGAAAATATAAGTGGAGAGCCAAGGAAATAACTGTAGCAGAGTGGACACTCCATAATTTTTAATCTAGAGCTGGGATTAGGGAATTGTAGATCTTCACAGTTCTACCTTCAACTTCTCAATCATGTCTGAGTAAATTTACTTGTGCTCTCAAGTCTCATTTGCTGACTGAAGTGTATAATATGGTCTGGGATATAAAGAACACATTTTTAGATTATTATTTTGTTAAGAGGTACAAATAAGAGATGGACCTAAAGAGAATATCTAGTAGAATAGAAAAGAAATATAACCTGAAATATATTCTGAATGAGATCTTCCAAAATGTATATATGAGAAGATCACTCAGTGGCCCAGTATAAAAAAAAGCTGACAAAATAATTACCAAATGGTTCCCAACCTTCCTGGCTTGGCAGCCAGCGGAGGCGGTGTTGAGGGGGGGAGGGAAAAGGGGTGGGTTTTGTGTGCATGCGGCTTTTACAAATGCAGCTTTGTGCTTGCTCACCACTTCTGCGGCCTAGTTGCAAATGGGCTGCGACTTGGCACTGGGTGATGGACGAGGGGTTGAGGACCCCTGTTCTACACTATATACTGTATCTCACAGGGATTGGATGGAGTCTTTGGATTCTTCATTTTTTTCAGTTTAGTTGTATTTATTTTTAGTGATTGGGAGTATTTCTTCTTGAAAAGGACGTGCACAGATTTGATGGTTTCTGAATCTGAAGCAACAAGGCCGCCATACCGGTATCTTCTTTGACAGTTCTGACATATGTAGACCATAAGTGGATACCAAACTGTGGACTGGTGTATACATACTCTGAATGTGGTATGCTTACTAGGACTATAATGCCCTGCAATTTAAATCCATTTAAGAATGGGTAAAAATAAAAGTGCTGAGCCACCGCAGATGTCTGAAATTTCTTTTTGCAGTTATTGCATTGGGAAGTGAAATTTTTTGGGTGAAGGCAACTTTCTTACACCACATCCAGGAAAACTCACAGCATCCTATAATTTATAAAAAAAGTATTGTTGGATAGAAAAAGAAGCAAGAGGCAAAGATTAAAATAGGTTCTTAAAGGAATAGATAGAAGTCTTAAATGGAGTTTGATGTGTGATACATCTGTGCCTTCTTTTGACAATGCATCTTTTTTGTCTAAAAGTTCTCAAATACAGGAGGTTTGGGAGACACTTGGACAGGAGAGAGTTCCTAAGTCCCACCTGGAAAAGAAGCCAAGTTAGATTTTGTTTTTTTTTCATGAACCAAGATCCTGATAGATTGATTGCTCCTTGCGTAGAGACCCTCTCTGATCCATATTTAAAATGCAATTGCACTCTGATTGCTTCTTTGTCACATTGTGTTAGGAAGTCAGTGGCCTAGAAAAATTGATGGTAAAGTTGTTCCTCCTAAATCCATCCACAGAAAAAGTCACAAATATACTCGCAAAACTGTATATCTATTCTAATGCTACTGTGTGTATCCCATGCCACACCTGGCATCTAATTCACCAATGTTCTATGTGTACTCCATATAAGAAAACATCTCACATTTAGATTAAACTAGTTTATCTTGCCTTCCTCTTAATAATAGACTAGACTAGTTTAGGAATGTGGCCAAATTTCAGAAAAATTTGGAAAACTCTGCCTAAATTATTTGTCAGTCACTTTCCATGGCAAAGCTAAGATTTTAATTTTCTGAACTATTCTTCATATACATGATTTTAACATAGAAAATATATACTTTTTCATTGGTGTGTTGCATATTCTCCCTCTCCCTCCAGTGACATTGTTGTCCTTTCTGTTCTCTCTCCCCACCCAAAAACCCGGAAATTGTGAAATTTCAGAGACATTCCTTATTAATGTTCGGGTTGCTCAATGGACATCCGTGTATTGTTTTTGCTTATTATTTAGTTTAGTGCTGAATAACCTTTGGCAAAATAGATTCTCTTTCTCAACTTGGAAATAGTGATGCAAAAATATAATCTCAAGCCATTTGGAAATCGGGATGATTCATACAGAATAAGACGTGCAGATTGTGGTTGTGCCTTCTGGGCTCTGATGCTGTAAGGAAATGTTGCTAATTATTTGTGGCTTGATTTTTTTCATAGCAGGCAGGCAAGGAAGGAGCCTTAACAAAAGATGAATCTCTGCTATTGCCAATAGCTGTGGCTTAAGTAGACCAGACATTGAATTCTCTGTGTGCTGCTCTCTTCACCCTGTTCCATTCACTTCTGAGCTTAGCTTTGTGGGGATAGAAACTGAAGGCCATGTGGATTTCTTTCAATGGGTTATATCTCTCCCACTCACTCAATTTCTGTGGTGGCTTTCTGTCAGATGAGAGACCACCTGGGAATCTGTTCCTGTAAATGGGATAGATCTTGGGTCCAGCCAAGCAAGATTTGTGTTTGAATGCCTGTGGAGTTTCTGCAGAAATTTGTCACTATGCTTATATTCTAAGAACTTGGTATTGATTTATGTTAACACAATTGGTCCTTTCCTAGTTCCTGCTTTGAAAATTCTCCTTGGATTTGTTTCTTCAAATGAAACAGACATGGTAGTTTAAAGTTACTAATCTATTACATTGGGCTGTGAATGTGCCCCTTGGTTCTTTAGATCAGTGTTTTTCAACCTTTTTGTGCAAAGGCACACTTTTTTCATGAAAAAAATCACGAGGCACACCACCATTAGAAAATGTTAAAAAAATT